GTAACTTTAGTGGCTTAATTGGCAGAACGGTAACGGTACAGTTTGTAACGAAGGACTGTACCCAGGGAGCTCACTTTGGTTATGCCTATGTGGATAACTGGTGCGGCACTTGTAACAATCCCTGGAACATAAGGTTTAGCAGCGCTTCAGATTGCGGCAATGGTAAGATCTGTTTTGATTATACCCTGCCTGTATCCGGCACCACAACCGGTAACGTAAGCATTGCACTGCAGATCTTCCAGAACGGCAGCCTTGTTACTACGCTGAACAGCGGATTGCTCACTTCCGGCACTAGCTATTGCTTCGGTATTGATCCGCTTGCTTTAGGGCTTAATCCTGCACTCGGTGGTTTTGACTTTGCTGCCATTGGCACCTTTGGTCTTGGTGCACCAGGCAACCTCGGACCTCAATTTGTATTTACAGCGCCGGATGGCAGAGATCCTGGTCTTAATAATGATTACGATATCAGCTGCGGTTGCTGCCCGGGTAATAACCTGATCACCAATCCTGGTTTTGAATCTGGTAATACCGGCTTCTCATCTGACTATCTGTATCAGGGTCTTATCAGCTCAGGTTCTATTGGTGTAGGTTACTATGGTGTTGTTACCGATGCACAGGCAGCAACTGTAGCCGGCACCTGGTCTCCGATCTGTCCGTCAACCGGCCGTCACTTAGTAGTAAATGGTGCTACCGGACAATCAACGATTAAAACAGTATGGAAACAGACGATCAATGTAAAAGCAGGTGCTACTTACAAATTCTGCTTTGACGTTAAGAAACTGCCACCTTGCGCATTCGACGGTAAAACGGCTATCCGTGTTATCGGCCAGTCTGGTTCATTGAACGATATAAGCAGTCATAGTATCGGTGTAACTCCGGGTGCCTGCAACTGGACAAGGATTGAAAAAACCTACACAATCCCTGCCGGTGCCACAACCCTTACCCTTGCAATCTTGCTGGACGAAAGCATGATCGGTGATGGTAATGACCTGGCCTTTGATAACTTCTCATTGGTAACTATGCAGCCTGTAGCAACATCCCAGTTGCTGTTTGGTATGAATCCGTTCAATATCACAGGTACTACCTACAATATGGCGGTAAATGCAGTGAGCCCGATGGCACAAGGTTGTCAGCATTTCTGGCAGGTAGAAGAGTTGGATGCTACTTATACACCAATTCTTGGTACACAAGTAGTAAATCCTGCAGCATGGTCGTCACTGGCAAGCCATAATTTCCCTGGTTATGTTGGTACTTCTTTACTGACTGGTACTGCTAATGGTGTATTCCAGCTGAGCAGAACCTACCGTATCATTTATGGCCGCTCTTGCACTTGCGAAACGATCAGCAAGCGTTACATGATCGTAGGCCCAATGGCGTCTAAAGGCCAGGCAGGCAGCAACATTCCTCAGATCCTGGAAAGCGGTGTTTATGATGAGACTGCAACCGTTGGCAGAGGTGCCGTATCTGTAAAGGAAGCTGCAG